CTCGACTTGCTCCTCCTCGGTCGACGTCGGCTTCAATCCCACGTCGACGTGCCTCTCGTCACGTCGGCCACCAGTGATGCCCTTGGCCGGCGCCGAAGGTGACGTCCCACTACTCCCCTCATCGCCGGAGGCCGACATAGGAGTCAGCACGTGCAAGTCGGCTACGAGGGGAGGGGCAGGGGTCGTATGGGAGGGGGAAGGAGGACGGACGACCTCGGCGTCCTCAGCAGCAAGCTCACCGACCTCGGCAAGCAGAGGCAGCGTCGCCGTTGAGGTGTCGGTCGGCGGGGTAGTAGGCGTCTGACCTGACACCGGCCCGTGCTCCGACTTCCACACCTCCAGCGACATATCCTCGTAGAACACCACGTCCGACGTGATGACCACCCGGTTGGCATCGATGTCGAGGAGCTCCCATCCCTTGCTCTCGGTTGACACGCCAAGGTGAAGGCCCCACCTGGCCTTCGGCTTCAGCTTCCCACCACGCTGCTGCTCGGGGACGAGGAACTGCGCCATGCAGCCCCACACCCGCGCCAGCGACAAGTCGGGTTTCTGCCCGGTGAGCAGCTGGTACGGCGTTGTCCCCGACGGCAGCGTCGACCTCTCAAGGCAGTTGCCGACCCAGACGGCCTGCAGCAGAGCGTGGTGCCACCAGTGGTGCTGCACGCCCATGTGCAGCAGCATCATCGCACCGACTCCACCACTATCCTCATCTCCCGCTCCGCCATGCCGTTCTGCTGCGGGGTGTATGGGCAGGTCCGGTCGTGGACGATCCCCAGCCCGTCCACGAAGTCGGTGAACTTCTTCCCGAGGAACTCCCCTCCTCGGTCCGAGCGCAACAGCAGCACTGACTTCTTCGTCTGCCTCTCCACCAACACCAGCCACTTCTGGAACTCCAGCAGCACATTCGACTTCCTGGCGTCCGGCCTTACCCACACGAAGCGGGTCTTGTGATCCTTCAGCAGTAGGAAGTACAAGCTGCCGTCCTTGGCAGCCACGCGGAACGGCCCGCACAGGTCGATGTGCACGACGGCCAGCACGTCGTCGGCGTCGGAGCCTTGGTCGGGGAAGGTGTGTCGCGCCAGCTTCCCGCCGACGCACGAGACACACGGGGAGTCGGCGCCCGTCGCCGACGTGAGGTCCAGCCCAATGGCGACCTCGTTCTTCGCTGAGCTCCATATGGTGTCCATGCCGACATGTGCAAGCCTCGCATGCATTCGGTCCGGAGTCGACTTCGTCTTCGAGACGATCGCCCGCCGGGCCACAACCTCCAGTGTGGTCGACGTCGACCTCGTTGAGCAGGGACGCAGGTCGGTGCAGAGGACACGCCCGGAGTACGTCGCCCGACCGAGCACCTCTCCCGTTGCCGAGACGAGCAGCATTCCGTCGCCGTCCTCTTGCAGCTTCACGCCGTGCTCCTTCAGCTGGCCGGACGACAGCAAGTTCGCCCGCACACCCGGGACGTACAGCACGTCAGGGATGAGCACCTGATTCCCGGCCTCCCCTTGCAGAGCGACAGTGCCGCGGCCCTGGACGTCCTGCAGTGCCCCATTGAAGCCGCGCACGTGCTTGATGGAGCCGCTCGGCTGCAGGTCGACGAAGACTTCCTTCGTCCCCAACAGGTGGTGGGAGCAACCGCTGTCGAGCAGTACCACCGCCGGGTTTGCCTGCACAGCTGCCGCCACCGCCTAGAAGTCCTCCCCGGCCTCTGGCGCCAGCGAGACGGTCGGCTCCACGATGCCGACCAGCGAGCACGATGCCGTCTTGTCGTCCCGCCCCTTGCCGCCTGCAGAGGAGTCGGCGTCCTTCGCCGAGGTCGACGTCGTCGACTGCTTCTCCTTGCGCGGCTTGTTTCCTCCTCGACGAGGAGGACGACTGCCAGACCTCCCGCGGCCTCCCTTGGCGTCGTCGTCGTCGGAGTCACTGCGGTCGGGGCACTTGAAGGAGAGGTGGTCGGGGTCGCCGCACAGCCAGCACTCCCGTCGTCGACCTCCTCCTCCTCGACCGCTGTCTTTGGTCGACTTCTTCTTGTCGACCTCCTTGGCCGGCTTCCAGCCACTGCTACTGCCACCGCCGGACTGTGCGCGCTGCCCCGGTCGACCTCCTTGCTTCGCCGGGGCGACGAAGTTTGCCTGCGCCAAGAGCTCCTGTGACCGCTCAGCCTCCTGCATCGCCTCATCCTGCAGGATGTACGAGGTCAGATTGTCCTCGTTGAGCGTTGTCCTCGTGCTCGGCGCCATTGACAGCCGCTTCAGGAGGTTGTAGCTGCTCGAGAGTCCCTGCATAACGTGGGTGACGTACGACGCCGTCGAGTACTGCGCGCCGGCCATCCTGATGGTGGCGAGAATTTGCCGGGCCCGGTTGCAGTAGTCGGTCGCCGTCTCCTCGTCGCCCATACGCAGATGAGTCAGCTGCCCCTCCAGCTGGGCGATGAACAAGTCGTCGGTGACTTGGTAGGTCGACTCGATGAAGTGCCACACCTGGTGGCCGGCGTCGAGGTACTCTCGGCACCATTTCAAAGCGATCTGCACGCCTGGCGAGCAGCACCGCGAGATGACCGTGAAGGTCAACAACTGCACGGCGCGAAACTCTGCTCGTAAGTCGGCGTGGTGCTCCTCCGGCGTCGCCACGATCCCTCGGGCGAAGCCGATCAGCCCAGCCATCTCCAGCTGGGGCTCGATAGCTTCCTTCCAGGTGAGAATGTCAGGTCGATCAACGAGCGGCGGGGTGACCAAGATCCTGTCCGGCGTGAACTTGAACTAGCCGTAGCTCAGTGCAATCCCGCGTGCCGTCATCTGGGTCGCCGACATCGGCGACAATCCGCTTCGTCGTCCTCCGACGTCGCCCTGTGAGGTGCCTGCAGCCACCGTCGACCGCATCCCTCGCGTCTGAACGCCGCCGACTTCATCGGCGTGTATCACTCCTCTCTGCATCGACATGCCTCCCGCACTGCTGCCGACCTGGTCACCACCGGCTTTGACGCCCACGTCAACGCCGACCTCTGTGTTCACCGGTCAAGGAGACGCCGGTCGAGAAGGGGGATGCTCCGACGCCCACATGGTGCGGAGTCCAGCCTCGACGACCGCCCACGGTATCGTCCCATACTCCTGTGTCAGAACATTATAGCTTATGCTTTTGTGTAGGCTGTAGTGGGGTATCCCATAGGGGGTACAACCCAATTAGGGTTAGTACTTGTACCCACTTCATTCATAGTTCATTCATTCTCGTTTCAGTTTTCTCATCCTGGGCCTCATGGCGTCTCCTCGCATCCTCCAGCCGTCCCTCCAGGGTGTCCATCACCTTGGCGTCACCTACGCCCACGCTAGGGACTGTACAGCTGCCGGCCTACGAACAACTAAGGTAAGTGACCTCTACGTCGACCTGACTGAAAGGTAAGTCGTGTTCGATCCACGCTCACCGCACCATGCGAAGATAACTACTACAACGGGAGCTAGACTACGGGCTAGGCACGGGTGCTTGTATGATCTCTGCGTTCGTTGGTCCTTAGTCGTTTTCCTAGTGCACACACAGCTTGCTAGTTCACGGGGAGAATTGGCAAGAGTTTCACAAGAGAAAGTTGACAACAATGGTACAATGAAGTTGGCATGGCAAGACTACATCAGAGCTAGCATTCATGCCTAGCTTCTAAGATCCAGCGCATGAACGGGGTCCCTCACATGGGTGCAAGCGGGGGGTTAACGGGATGAAATTTTCGGGAACCTTCGTCCCGATACCCTCGCATTCAGGGTCCAAAAAACGCGTACTCTACATAGACAGAGTCAGTAAGAACACTACTCTGAGACTAGTTACAATATTTCAGGGTTCGGTGAAGCACTATTCTGAATGGATCATTGTTCACAAGTTAAAAATTCTGAAATTGCAGGGACCACCAGGTGAGAAGCCTGTAATCACCCTGAAATCAGGGTAATTACCTTAATAAAATCAGCCCTGCTTTCACACCACAAGATTCGCCCTGACACAACCCTGTCAGAGCATGTTCTCCCGGAAATCCCCTTAGTCTAGCATGTTTCGGTATCAGATGAAACATTGAATACATTTCGGATGAAACATTGAATGCCGTACATTGGTCTTGAATGTTCAAACTTTTTTTTAAAGTCACTCTGAAATTTAAGCCTTTTTTAATACCAGCTCTGAGGGGTTTCAGACTAAACAGTGTACTAGTCTGATGAATCAGACAGGCCAAAAACGAATCTGAGGGTCTGCTCAGTAGGGTCGTTTTGTAATTTCTGATTCATAAGACAAGAAATGCTTGAAATTCTGATGCATAAGGAAATTTTAAAATTTCTGATAAATCAGACAGGCCCGAAGGGCCCCTCTGATGCATCAGGGGGGTTCAGGGACTAGCGAGGGCCCTGATGTGCTTGTTGACAGGATTACGCTGTATATCGGTTAATGCACACATTTTCTTGGCAACAAGTGCCCAGCTACCGGTACTTGGCCAAAATGAGCGATTGATTGTGAAAGGCTGTCTTGGTGAAGAGAATCCAGACTCATCTGACCAGTTATTTACAACAGCCCCAATACCCAATGCGTGGCTTCCCCTCCAGGCCGTACACTGCCGCGCCCAAAAAATCAGGGTAAAATACAGCGTACAGTATTTCAACTGTAAATGTGTGGTTTCAACTGTACATCGGTTAATGCACACATTTTCTTGGCAACAAGTGCCCAGCTACCGGTACTTGGCCAATGAGCGATTGATTGTGAAAGGCTGTCTTGGTGAAGAGAACCCAGACTCATCTGACCAGTTATTTGCAACAGCCCCAATACCCAATGCGTGGCTTCCCCTCCAGGCCGTACACTGCCGCGCCCAAAAAATCAGGGTAAAATACAGCGTACAGTATTTCAGGAGCCCCAATGCTCACAGCATGCAAGCCTTGACTGCATCAGGCTGTGTGCTGTGCATGCTCATGCGGTATGTGGTTGGGTAGGGGTTGCCATTCAAAATAAGATAGCCGAATCAAAAGACTGGTGTGATCAATGCTCTACTTCCAGGTGTGCTCCTTGTTGAGGGATTTGCGGTTTCGCTTGAGTGAGTAGGTGATGAGGGGCTCCTGCTCCACCGCACCACCTGCATGCACCTCACTGGACGAGCCATCGTGTGGCACAGCGGGGACGCCTCCTCCACCTCCACCCGCAGCGCCTACAACTCCCAATGCCCAAAGGGCTGTCTCGCTGTCTTGCGCTGCTGCATGCATCCCTGCCTCTCCACCTGCATGCATCCCTGCCTCTCCACCTGCATGCATCCCTGCCTCTCCACCTGCATGCGCCTCCCCCACTCGCTCCGCCACTGCAGCAGCAGCACTGCTGCCGTCATGCCTTGCAGGCTGTGCACTGCTGAGCACCGCCTGCCCTGCCCGCCCCGCATGCCCCCCAGCAGCCATCTGCCGCCGGTGCCACTCCTCCCACTCGTCCACCTCCCCCCTCCTCGTGCCCGCCCTCCCCTCCACCACCTCATCGCCACCGCGCCCTGCCTCCCCCGGCACCCACCCCTCCCGCACTCCCATTCCATCCCCCGCCCTCCCCTCCCCCCCACCATCCCGTGCGCTCATCGCGTGCGCCCCATGGCACCCCTCAGGCCGCACCAGCCCGCGGGCAGCAAGGATGGGAGTGCGCCGCAGGATGTCGTCCATCGCCACCCCGCGCGCCTTCCTGCGACTGCGCTCGCGCTTGCCCTGCGCCCGCCACCTCACCGCGCCCCCACCTTCCTCTCCCTCCCCTCCCTCCCCACCGTCCCCTCCCTCCCTCCCGTGTCCGCCCTCCCCAGCGCCCCCCTGGGTGCAGCCAGCACTGCCTGTGCGCGGCAGCGGCAGCGGGGCAGGCAGCGCCCCCTGGGGCACGCGTGGCGGGGATGCCATGCGCACCCACCTGCTCTGCACTGCCACATCCGCGCATACATGCACATTGCCTTGCCTCTGCTGCTGCTGCTGCTGCTGCTGCTGCTGCTGCTGCTGCTGCTGCTGCTGCTGAGGGCGCTGGGCGTGAGAGTGGGAGTGCATCTCGAGCCAACCAGTGTGACTCTCGCCTGGGCCCCCACGGTGCTCGCCTGGGCCCCCACGGTGCTCGCCTGGGCCCCCACGGTGCTCGCCTGTGCCCCCACGGTGCTCGCCTGGGCCCCCACGGTGCTCGCCTGTGCCCCCACGGTGCTCGCCTGTGCCCCCACGGTGCTCGCCTGTGCCCCCACGGTGCTCGCCTGGGCCCCCACGGTGCTCGCCTGTGCCCCCACGGTGCTCGCCTGTGCCCCCACGGTGCTCGCCTGTGCCCCCACGGTGGTCGCCTGTGCCCCCACGGTGCTCGCCTGTGCCCCCACGGTGCTCGCCTGGGCCCCCACGGTGCTCGCCCCAGTCACTGTGGTCGTGCGCGGGGCACTCACTCTGCCTCTCAGCACTGTGGTGCGGCTCAGTAGCGCATGGATGCAGCGCAAGCACATGAAACGACTGAACCTCCTCATCCATCCCACTCTTGCTTCCCATAGCCCCACTGTGTTGTTGCGCTTTCTCTGCCGTTCCCCTTCGCTCCACCATCACCTCTTCCTGCATCCTGTCGCCCCTCTCCCCCCTCTCCTCTCTTTCCCCTTCTTTCCCCCTTTCCCCCCTCTCCTCCCGCTGTCCCCTTCCCCCTCTCTGCTCCCTGTCATCCCGCGCCCCCCACTGCCCTCGCTGCATGGGCACAGCACCCCACGCCTGCCTTTCCCCACCCACGCCCACGTTGCCACGCGTAGGGGGCAGGCAGGAGGCAGGTGGGAGGAAGGGGGGGGCGGAGAGGGGAGGGGGAGAGAGGGGGGGGACGGGGGGCAGGGGGGCGAGCGCCCAGGGGGAGGGGGAGGGGTCAAGGTCGCCGTGGGAGGCGTCCAGGTCGACCAGGTCCCACACGCCGCGCGCCCCCCTGCCCACCGCCTTCGCCTCTCTCTCGCCCCTCTCGCCCCTCCCTGCACCCGCACTGCCTCTCACCTCGCCGCGTGAACTCGCCTCAGCTCGTCCCTCCTGCGCCACGGGCAGCACAGGTGGCCCCGCGCTCACCTCCACGCGCACGGCGCCACACATGTGTGGCAGCGCAGCAGCACGGCAAGGCGGACCACCATGCGTGCGTGCCGTGCCCACTGCGCCCCCACTACCACCATGGCGGTGGCTGTGGGCAGCAGGCAGCGTGGGTGGAGGCGAGGGCGATGTGCGTGCACGCGTGCTACTCACCACCGCGTCAGCTGCGTGTGCACAGGCGCTGGGAGGCGGGGCAGGGGTGGTGGCAGCGTGTGGTGGTGCAGGAGGCACGGGCACCATGGGCAGGGACGGACGCAGAGAGGTGGGCTCATCCAGTGGCGTGGCGGAGATGGCTGCACACACATGTGCCGCCCGCACCTCCCCCGGTCCCCTTCCCCCACCTGCCACCTCGCCTGCTGCCACTGCTGGCGGTGTGGGAGGTGGTGGTGGTGGTGGTGGCGGCAGACGAGTGGGGGGCAGCGGCTTGGCGAAGATGAAGACAGCAAAGAGACCTGCCCAGAGGCACCGGCAGTGGGGCATGAGGGGCGCAGGCAGTGGGGCATGAGGGGCGCAGGCAGTGGGGCATGAGGGGCGCAGGCAGTGGGGCATGAGGGGCGCAGGCAGTGGGGCATGAGGGGCGCAGGCAGTGGGGCATGAGGGGCGCACGAGGAGGAAAACGCGAATGGTTGGTAAGCAAGTGCAAGGGAGGGCAGGGCTAAGGGCATTGAGCAGGGAGCACACAAATGTGGTGCACACTGGCACGAATGTGGTGCACAGTGGCACGAATGTGGTGCACACTGGCACGAATGTGGTGCACAGTGGCACGAATGTGGTGCACACTGGCACGAATGTGGTGCACAGTGGCACGAATGTGGTGCACACTGGCACGAATGTGGTGCACAGTGGCACGAATGTGGTGCACACTGGCACGAATGTGGTGCACACTGGCACGAATGTGGTGCACACTGGCACGAATGTGGTGCACACTGGCACGAATGTGGTGCACACTGGCACGAATGTGGTGCACACTGGCACGAATGTGGTGCACACTGGCACGAATGTGGTGCACACTGGCACGAATGTGGTGCACACTGGCACGAATGTGGTGCACACTGGCACGAATGTGGTGCACACTGGCACGAATGTGGTGCACACTGGCACGAATGTGGTGCACAGTGGCACGAATGTGGTGCACAGTGGCACGAATGTGGTGCACAGTGGCACGAATGTGGTGCACAGTGGCACGAATGTGGTGCACAGTGGCACGAATGTGGTGCACACTGGCACGAATGTGGTGCACACTGGCACGAATGTGGTGCACACTGGCACGAATGTGGTGCACACTGGCACGAATGTGGTGCACACTGGCACGAATGTGGTGCACACTGGCACGAATGTGGTGCACACTGGCACGAATGTGGTGCACACTGGCACGAATGTGGTGCACACTGGCACGAATGTGGTGCACACTGGCACGAATGTGGTGCACACTGGCACGAATGTGGTGCACAGTGGCACGAATGTGGGACACACTGGCAGGATTCCCGTGAATGCATGGGTGGGCGCCCGCTTGCCACTGTGTGTCACAGTGGATGGCAGCACAACAGGTCGCCAGCAGCACTCACTCAGCAGGTCGCGTGCCGCCGCAGAGAGGCCGACATGCACCGCAGCGTCCACAGGCCGCCCATCCGCCCCCTCGCCCGCTGCTGCACCCGCAGCAGCAGCAGCAGCAGCAGCAGCAGCGTCGCCACGCGGGTCAGGCATGGCGAGTAGCGCAGCGGGGCAGGTGTGCGCCAGCAGGCGCATGCTGGCAGGCGTCCTGCAGAGGGGGGGAGCAGATGGAGGGGCGAGCGGAGGCATGAGGGTTGGCCGTGGGGAGGCGTCAGGGAAGGAAGTGTTTCAATGCCCTTATGAACAACCACTGGCTCTCCACCTCAGAGGTTATTTAACTTGGAAGGTTGACCCAGTTCACGGAGGAAGGTTGACCCAGTTCACGGAGGAAGGTTGACCCAGTTCACGGAGGAAGGTTGACCCAGTTCACGGAGGAAGGTTGACCCAGTTCATGGAGGAAGGTTGACCCAGTTCACGGAGGAAGGTTGACCCAGTTCATGGAGGAAGGTTGACCCAGTTCACGGAGGAAGGTTGACCCAGTTCACGGAGGAAGGTTGACCCAGTTCACGGAGGAAGGTTGACCCAGTTCACGAGGTATGGCGGGTCAACCAACCCATAATCTCAACCGACTCGTCATATGGGTCAGGTATGGTGAAAGGCGAGGCGCACTGGGCCTAGAGGCGAGCACCTGTGTTGCTGACCGTAGGTTGCTAAATCACTCCATCGAGTACCTCTTGAGGTTTCTCGTTCAGTCTGACCCTAACTTCACCGTGACTGTTGCTTTCCCATTGCTCCTAAATCTCCGACACCTAGCTGCACTTGCTTTTCGATACGATGCTCCCAAGACACCGCACAGCCTCAAACACACGCTTAAGCTAAACAAACTAGAAATTAACTCTTCAAATAATACACATTAGTGATTGGCCTGTCGAGACGAACTGAACCAGAGGTTCGAGAACTAAGGGTCGAATATAGAACCTCGGCCACCACGTTTTGGTTCGACCAAACCCGAGCAGGTTTGATACTGCGAGATTATCCGTTTGACCATTTTTGGCCTGAACAAGTTCGAGTTGGATACTTTCTCAAGTGTACTCATGTGTGATTGACACAGTTGGCATGGTGCCCACCTGGTGTCGTTGAAAAGGGTCTCGAGGTTGACAATGTCCATCACTTGCAGCCCCTCCGCCTCCGCCAACCTGCCGTGCCGTGAGAGGGAGAGACGATTGGGGCATGTGAGAAGACATGGGCATGAGGAAACAGAGGGGGGAAACACAGAGCAAAAAGGGGCATGGGACTCCCTCGAGCCCATTAGCTGCACTGCACACCAGCCCCGAATGCCGGAGACCAACTCATCACAGGTTGGCACAGGGTGCGGAGAGTCACTCTACACCAGTGGGAGCTAAATCACGGGGAAGGCACGGGTGGTACGAGTGATCGCAGAGTTCGCTTGTAGTTTCTCTACTTGCACATTCATAGAGCAAATTAGCAAGAGTTTCACTAAGAACGTTGTAGAATAATGATACAATGGTAATGGCGAAGGTTGACTACATCACAGGCCTAGCAGCCTAGCAAGCAGGCAGGTCAACCTCCAGCGCAGCACGAGGGCTGCTTGCCAACACCGCAGGTTGGCGGCCTGCCAACGTAGCAAGAAGAGGACTTGCCACCGCTGCAGAAAGACGTCCTGCCAGCTTTGCACCAGAACGGCGGCTTGCCAACGCTGCAGCAAGGCGGCTTGCCACCATTGCAACTACATGTGTTTGTGAATGCGCAGGTGCACACTTGCCGAGTAGGTGCAGGAAGACGGTTGTACCATCAAGCACATTGTACAGGTGCCCAGATCGATCACATGTCGACGGTTGCATCGACCTCGTCAACCTCGTGCTACACTACCGAGACACAGATCGACTACGTCAAAAACACCAGGACGACGTTCGCGCAACCCCGCAGAACTTTGTCAACCAGCTTACTCGGTCAGAAGATACCGCTAAGCCAACGTCGACTTCGGTGCTTGTCGGTCGACCTCATGTCGATGACCACCTTTGTCGACCGCCGAGGCTTGACGCCATCCGCTGACTTCTCTTCGTTCACCAGCGTCTACCCGACTTTGCTAAAGTCGGCTTTGTCAAAGTCGGCTCCGCCATAACCAGCTTCACTCTAGTCGGCAGCTTCTCCGACATCGACTCCGCCAAAGTCGGCTGAGCCCGAAGTCGACCTCGCCACGCCGACTTCACCAGGTCGACTTCACCAGGTCGGCTTCACCAGGTCGGCTTCACCAGGTCGGCTTCACCAGGTCGGCTTCACCAAAGTCGGCTTACCGTCCAAGTCGGCCAACCAAGCCGACTTGCTCCTCCAAATCGACGTCGACCACGAAGCGTAGCCGGCTGCACACCTTGCATGCCAGACAACGAAGTCGGCTTCGCCCAAGCGAGGGCGGGGCCTTTTCTCGTCAATAATGGGAAGGGGCGAGATACAGCAAGCGTGAGTAGGAACGAGGAGCCAAGCTAGGAAAAAGGAGGAAGTGCACCTAATGAGAGTGGGGAAGTGGACGAGGAGCGACTTGATGGGCAGGCTGTTGGCATCGGCACACTTGAGGGAGAAGCGCAAATCAAACACCGCCCTGGTGGACCGGCAGGCAGGGGGCAGCACAGAGGGGCAGGAACATGTAATGGAAGAGGAGGGACGGATTAGCGGATGGAAATAATGGTGAGATGACTGTGAGGCGGGGAATGGAAGGACAAGTCGGGAGAAAACATGTAGGAAGGTAGAAGCCAAGTATGAAGGAAATAGTCACAACAAGAAAGGGGAATAAGAAGTCACTGCCTTCTCACTTGCTGTCATCAAACGGCACTGCCTTCTCACTTGCTGTCATCAAACGGCACTGCCTTCTCACTTGCTGTCATCAAACAGCACTGCCTTCTCACTTGCTGTCATCAAACGGCACTGCCTTCTCACTTGCTGTCATCAAACGGCACTGCCTTCTCACTTGCTGTCATCAAACGGCACTGCCTTCTCGAACACGATAGCGTAGAGCGACGAGCGAATCACCGCCCGCGTGGGCACCATGCCGCCCGGCCCGGCAGCAGCCTTGGCGGCATCAATGGCCCGCTGCTGCTTGTACCTGGCGGGGCGGACAAGTGGGGATGTGGCGGGGAATGGATGAGTAGAAGCAAAAGATCTGTGCTCCCTACACCACGCGGTGTTGCTTCCTACATCACACAGTGTTGCTCCCTACACCACGCGGTGTTGCTTCCTACACCACACGGTGGTGCTTTCTACACCACACAGTCTTGCTTTCTACACCACACGGTGGTGCTTTTTACACCACACGGTGTTGTTCCCTACTGCTTCCTACTCCACACGGTGTTGCTCCCCACACCAGACCGTGTTGCACCCCACATCCCTGGTCAGCGTGACAAGTGCGCAGCAGCAGAAAGAGGGAAGCAGCCCTGGGTGCTGCGGCGGCCCTGGGCAAGGAGCCTGTTGAAACTAAGTTTTTCTCCGCGCACCATTGACCACCAGCATTCAAAACTTGCCACTTAGGTTTGACAACGCGGTTCTCGGGTGTAAACACATGCTCTGGCCGGCCGAGCCTGCCCTCAGCCGTGGTCAGACCAGGTGGAGCCACCGTTGGCCCGTCACATTGGCCCGTCACATTGGCCCGTCACATTGGCCCGTCACATTGGCCCGTCACATTGGCCCGTCACATTGGCCCGTCACATTGGCCCGTCACATTGGCCCGTCACATTGGCCCGTCACATTGGCCCGTCACATTGGTCCGTCACATTGGCCCGTCACATTGGCCCGTCCCATTGGCCCGTCACATTGGCCCGTCACATGGCCCGTCACATTGGCCCGTCACATTGGCCCGTCAACATTGGTCCTTCATATTGGCCCGTCACATTGGTCCGTCACATTGGCCCGTCACATTGGTCCGTCACATTGGCCCGTCACATTGGCCCGTCACATGGCCCGTCACATTGGCCCGTCACATTGGCCCGTCACATTGGCCCGTCACATTGGCCCGTCACATTGGCCCGTCACATTAGCCCGTCACATTGGCCCGTCACATTGGCCCGTCACATTGGCCCGTCACATTGGCCCGTCACATTGGCCCGTCACATTGGCCCGTCACATTGGCCCGTCACATTGGCCCGTCACATTGGCCCGTCACATTGGCCCGTCACATTGGCCCGTCACATTGGCCCGTCACATTGGCCCGTCACATTGGCCCGTCACATTGGCCCGTCACATTGGCCCGTCACATTGGCCCGTCACATTGGCCCGTCACATTGGCCCGTCACATTGGCCCGTCACATTGGCCCGTCACATTGGCCCGTCACATTGGCCCGTCACATTGGCCCGTCACATTGGCCCGTCACATCGGCCCGTCACATTGGCCCGTCACATTGGCCCGTCACATTGGCCCGTCACATTGGCCCGTCACATTGGCCCGTCAACATTGGCCCGTCACATTGGCCCATCACATTGGCCCGCCACATTGGCCCGTCATATTGGCCCGTCACATTGGCCCGTCACATTGGCCCGTCACATTGGCCCGTCAACATTGGAACGTCACATTGGCCCGTCAACATTGGAACGTCACATTGGCCCGTCACATTGGTCCGTCACTTTGGCCTGTCAACATTGGTCCGTCACATTGGCCCGTCACATTGGTCCGTCACATTGGCCCGCCACATTGGTCCGTCACATTGGCCCGTCACATGGCCCGTCACATTGGCCCGTCACATTGGCCCGTCACATTGGCCCGTCACATTGGCCCGTCACATTGGCCCGTCACATTGGCCCGTCACATTGGCCCGTTACATTGGCCCGTCACATTGGCCAGTCACATTGGCCCGTCACATTGGCCCGTCACATTCGCCCGTCACATTGGCCCGTCACATTGGCCCGTCACATTGGCCCGTCACATTGGCCCGTCACATTGGCCCGTCACATTGGCCCGTCACATTGGCCCGTCACATTGGCCCGTCACATTGGCCCGTCACATTGGCCCGTCACATTGGCCTGTCACATTGGCCCGTCACATTGGCCCGTCACATTGGCCCGTCACATTGGCCCGTCAACATTGGTCCGTCACATCGGCCCGTCACATTGGCCCGTCACATTGGCCCGTCACATTGGCTCGTCACATTGGCCCGTCAACATTGGTCCGTGACATCGGCCCGTCACATTGGCCCGTCGCATTGGCCCGTCACATTGGCCCGTCACATTGGCCCGTCACATTGGCCCGTCACATTGGCCCGTCACATTGGCCCGTCACATTGGCCCGTCACATTGGCCCGCCACATTGGCCCGTCGCATTGGCCCGCCACATTGGCCTGTCACATTGGCCCGTCACATTGGCCCGTCACATTGGCCCGTCACATTGGCCCGCCACATTGGCCCGTCGCATTGGCCCGCCACATTGGCCTGTCACATTGGCCCGTCACATTGGCCCGTCACATTGGCCCGTCACATTGGCCCGTCACATTGGCCCGTCAACATTGGAACGTCACATTGGCCCGTCAACATTGGAACGTCACATTGGCCCGTCACATTGGTCCATCACATTGGCCTCTCAACATTGGTCCGTCACATTGGCCCGTCACATTGGTCCGTCACATTGGCCCGTCACATTGGTCCGTCACATTGGCCCGTCACATTGGCCCGTCACATCGGCCCGTCACATTGGCCCGTCACATTGGCCCGTCACATTGGCCCGTCACATTGGCCCGTCACATTGGCCCGTCACATTGGCCCGTCACATGGCCCGTCACATTGGCCCGTCACATTGGCCCGTCACATTGGCCCGTCACATTGGCCCGTCACATTGGCCCGTCACATTGGCCCGTCACATTGGCCCGTCACATTGGCCCGTCACATTGGCCCGTCACATTGGCCCGTCACATTGGCCCGTCACATTGGCCCGTCACATTGGCCCGTCACATTGGCCCGTCACATTGGCCCGTCACATTGGCCCGTCACATCGGCCCGTCACATCGGCCCGTCACATTGGCCCGTCACATTGGCCCGTCACATTGGCCCGTCACATTGGCCCGTCAACATTGGCCCGTCACATTGGCCCGTCACATTGGCCCGCCACATTGGCCCGTCGCATTGGCCCGCCACATTGGCCTGTCACATTGGCCCGTCACATTGGCCCGTCACATTGGCCCGTCAACATTGGCCCGTCACATTGGTCTGCAGCGTAGGGCCGGCACCCGCGCTGGGCCGGACTGGCCCGGCCGGCCAGCCCACCCTGGCCCGACCCAGACTAGCACGGTCTGGTCCGTGCTCGTTCAATTTCTACCCTATCAGGTTGAACCAGGGTGCGGGTCTGACCAGTCGCTATGCGTATCAGAAGGTGGAGTAGCGGCGCAACCGCAGTGGGCGGAGGAGCAACAAAGGGAAGACATGATGGTTGCTGAACACGATAAAAGTGTAAAGTTCTAAACAAGCAGCAGACCAGAGCGTGGAGGAGTCGGGCAGACCAGAGCGTGGAGGAGTCGGGCATACCAGAGCGTGGAGGAGTCGGGCTTACCAGAGCGTGGAGGAGTCGGGCATACCAGAGCGTGGAGGAGTCGGGCATACCAGAGCGTGGAGGAGTCGGGCATACCAGAGCGTGGAGGAGTCGGGCATACCAGAGCGTGGAGGAGTCGGGCATACCAGAGCGTGGAGGAGTTGGGCATACCAGAGCGTGGAGGAGTCGGGCATACCAGAGCGTGGTGGAGTCGGACATACCAGAGCGTGGAGGAGTCGGGCATACCAGAGCGTGGAGGAGTCGGGCTTACCAGAGCGTGGAGGAGTCGGGCATACCAGAGCGTGGAGGAGTCGGGCATACCAGAGCGTGGAGGAGTCGGGCATACCAGAGCGTGGAGGAGTCGGGCATACCAGAGCGTGGAGGAGTCGGGCATACCAGAGCGTGGAGGAGTCGGACATACCAGAGCGTGGAGGAGTCGGGCATACCAGAGCGTGGAGGAGTTGGGCATACCAGAGCGTGGAGGAGTCGGGCAGACCAGAGCGTGGAGGAGTCGGGCATACCAGAGCGTGGAGGAGTCGGGCATACCAGAGCGTGGAGGAGTCGGGCATACCAGAGCGTGGAGGAGTCGGGCATACCAGAGCGTGGAGGAGTCGGGCATACCAGAGCGTGGAGGAGTCGGGCATACCAGAGCGTGGAGGAGTCGGGCATACCAGAGCGTGGAGGAGTCGGGCATACCAGAGCGTGGAGGAGTCGGGCATACCAGAGCGTGGAGGAGTCGGGCATACCAGAGCGTGGAGGAGTCGGGCATACCAGAGCGTGGAGGAGTCGGGCATACCAGAGCGTGGAGGAGTCGGGCATACCAGAGCGTGGAGGAGTCGGGCATACCAGAGCGTGGAGGAGTCGGGCATACCAGAGCGTGGAGGAGTCGGGCATACCAGAGCGTGGAGGAGTCGGGCATACCAGAGCGTGGAGGAGTCGGGCATACCAGAGCGTGGAGGAGTCGGGCATACCAGAGCGTGGAGGAGTCGGGCATACCAGAGCGTGGAGGAGTCGGGCATACCAGAGCGTGGAGGAGTCGGGCATACCAGAGCGTGGAGGAGTCGGGCATAACAGAGCGTGGAGGAGTCGGGCATACCAGAGCGTGGAGGAGTCGGGCATACCAGAGCGTGGAGGAGTCGGGCATACCAGAGCGTGGAGGAGTCGGGCATAACAGAGCGTGGAGGAGTCGGGCATACCAGAGCGTGGAGGAGTCGGGCATACCAGAGCGTGGAGGAGTCGGGCAGCAGGCCGAAGAAGATCCCTCCGGGGGCCAGCAGTGTTGCCACGTTCGCCAGGAACTGTGAAGCCGTGCGCTGCGAGGCAAACCAGTCCTGCACGCCCACGCATTGGTTGGGGGGGGGTGAGGGGTGGAGGGGGAGGGGTTATGTGGGGTTAAGGGAGCAGGTGGGTGGGTAAGAGTTGGGGTGGTTACATTCGAGAGCACAAGGCGGTGATTCGGAACAGGGAAAGCTGGCAGTGAAAAGAGAATACAAACAGCATAGCAAGTGGCATGAGGGTTGAAACATGCACCTGCACGCGAGGGCTGCAGCAGACAACGTTGAAGGGCGTGAGGCGCCCCACCGCGGGCAGCGAGAGCTGCGCCTGCAGGAAGACGGCGGTTGGGCACAATGTCAGAACCCAGCTCATTTGTTTGGCTCTTACACTTGAAATGGTTCTGGTCTCGGACCAGAGAGCAGCCACTCCGATGGTTCACCAACGAGCCAAAGCGGGCCATGCGTGATTTCGATACAACAAACAAGGTTTTTTCCCCAGAAAAACAGATGACAGCTAGGTTGTTTTTTTTCTGAATTGACATGAGGTTCTCTTGAATGGGGAAACGAGGAGGAACCGGATAACTCAGCTGCAACTCTCTAATACGCATACGAGGGAAGGGTCGGCATAGTGGAAGGCGGCGCCATAGGGGGCGCCGTGCGCGCGCCACTCCTCCGCCGCCTCCTCCAGCGATGATGGCGTCACGTCTGCCCCGCCCCCCTCCCACCCGTGCCATGGGAGCCAGGGCGGAGCGCATGGGGGGACGGAGGGGGGAAGGAGGAGGAAGTGGGTTGGAAGGAAGGGGGAGTGGTGCGCCAGGAAAAGCGAAGTAAAGGCAGGTCGGAGGGGAGATAAAGAGGAGGGGCTCACACGGAGCAAGTGGAGGATTACTTGACGCCCACGTGGCACTCACCGACGCCCAGGTAGGAGTCGATGCGCGCATTGACCCACAGCGGCGTGTCCTCCCCGCGGCCACAGAACATCTCGCACACCTGCGGGCACACACACGCGCGCACAGAGGGGCGCACACAATGCGCGGGGTGAGCACGCATGCATCGTCTGAGCCATGCGCTAAACGATCCCTCTGACGTCTTTTTCCCTCGCCTCTGCTCCTCCTCGTCCCCTCAAAAGCTCTACCGCCCCCCACCGCTCGCTGCCAGAAGGCATGCTACTCTGCCAGCCGCTTTCCCCACCCTTCGCCCACCCATCACCCACCCATCGCCCACCCATCGCCCACCCATCGCCCAGCCATGGTTCACCCCTCCCCTCCGAGGGGAGTCCCGGCGGCGTACCTCGTCGCCGGGCGCGACGAGTTCCGCCAGCAGCACGCGCTTCGCCCACTGCTGCAGCCCCGCCAGCTGCGAGCTCGCCGTCGCAGGGGCCATCGCAACGACTGGCGACGCCGCTGATAGACTGCAGGTACGGGTGAAGGGTAAGTGCGGTCTAGTGCGGTAGGGTGCGGTCGAGTGCGGTTGAGTGCGGTCTAGCGCGGTGGGGAGCGGTCAGGTACGGTAGGGTGTAGACTAGTGCGGTGGAGAGCGGTTAAGGTGCGGCCGGGTGTGTAACGGTGCAGTGGGGGGCGGTCTAGCATGGTGAGGAGTGGTCAGGGGGGATTTAATGCAGTGGATTGCAATTAGGAATGGTCTAGTGCGGTGGAATGGGGTGACATGTTAAGGAGTACGGGCAGCTGCACGTGCGCTTATGCTCATGCGAGGCGGTGTGCGCGTGGCTGCGTGCGCGGGCAGCAGGGCCGGGCGCGGTACGGGACGGGACGGGCAGGGTGTGCGGCAGTGGCTGCTGTGCGCGCGGCGGCGGCGGCTGCTGTCTGCGTGGCGGCGGCTGCTGCGGGCGTGGCGGCGGCTGCTTCTCGTGTGCATGCAGTGGCGCACCCGATCGCGGCTGCTGCTGCTGTGGGACGAAAAAAAGGAGGAGGGGGGGGGGAGGAGGAGGGAGGGAGCAGCGTGCGGCGGCCTATGTGCGCGCGGGTGCGTGCAGGAGCTGCTGCGCGCGCGTTCGACTAGGACAGGGCGTGCTACGGGGAGTTACGGGGCGTTACGGGGCGCGCTAAGGACGGAGCGCATTACGAACGGGGCGAGGCGCATTAAGGGTGGGACGGGGCGCGCTAGGAACTAACCTACTGCTAGGAATCTGAGTTGGTAGTGTGAGCAGTGTCGTGACACAGGAAAGTATCGCTTCAGTAGTTCACGAAAAGGTACATTACCCAGTCGTTACTTTGGTAGACTATATATTTCTTGTACTTTCTCATTATTATCAATTCTTGTTCTCACATTTGACTAGCACAGGATTTCACAAACTTCCGCTGCAACACTTATCAAGGATAAACTCTAAAAGATCCTAAGGCTAGTTTTTCAACCCAACATATTACCAGAGTACAGTCCTTTCGATATCAGGGTGATTCACCCTTATGACCCTTACTATAAGGGCGGGTTTGACTATGCACCCTTTTTTACAAGACTGGTTTTGTTTTAGACCCTTACAAAAAAAAGTGATCGATTATACGACACTGATATTTCAGATCTATGTGGTGTAGTAGCACTGATGAAATCGAGTTTGATATAAGAAATGATACCAGGATTAGTCACGTAAAACACATTATACATGATGCCCAACCAGTGCACGCGAATTTGCCCTGCACCGGATGGAAACGCTGCACCCGAGGTCTTTTCCCCAGCCTGTTGCACCCACGATACAAGCGCGTCGCGTGGTTATGGTGTCAGAACATTATAGCTTATACATTTGTGTAGGCTGTAGTGGGGTAGCCCATAAGGGGTACAACCCAATTAGGGTTAGTACTTGTACCCAACTGTTTCATAGTTCATCCATTCCATTCTCACTTCTCGTCATGGTATCGAGCAGGTTCCCGAGTGGGAATACTGCCTAGGGCCCACCACGAACTTTTTTTTTCCTTCCCTGCCCGGAGCGCGCTTAGCTCCTAACCCGAGTAGCGCCTCAAGCCGCCTTAGTGGCCCCTATTGGCCGCCCTTACTGCCCCTCGAGCCGCCCTCTACGGCCTCGCTTAGGCCGCTACGGCCCCGCTTAGGCCCCGTCGGCCCCGCTACGGCCCCGCTTAGGCCCCGCTACGGCCCCGCTACGGCCCCGTCGGCCCCGCTACGGCCCCGCTACGGCCCCGCTACGGCCCCGTCGGCCCCGCTTAGGCCCCGCTACGGCCCCGCTACGGCCCCGTCGGCCCCGCTACGGCCCCGCTTAGGCCCCGTCGGCCCCGCTACGGCCCCGCTTAGGCCCCGCTACGGCCCCGCTACGGCCCCGTCGGCCCCGCTTAGGCCCCGCTACGGCCCCGCTACGGCCCCGTCGGCCCCTCTTAGGCCCCGCTACGGCCCCGCTACGGCCCCGTCGGCCCCGTCGGCCCCGCTACAGCCCCGCTACGGCCCCGTTTAGGCCCCGCTACGGCCCCGCTTCGGCCCCGCTTAGGCCCCGCTGCGGCCCCACTACGGCCCCACTTCGGCCCCGTCGGCCCCTCTACGGCCCCACTTAGGCCCCAATTCGGCCCCGTCGCCACCGCGGCCCCGCCCACCCTTGCGGCCCGCCGCCACCTGCGACCTCGCCACCACCTGCGACCCTGCCTCCCAGCGCCCGCAACACCGAGCAGCCGAATCGCCGGCCACCTGAGCCGCCCGACCTCCCGAGCCGCCCAGCAGCCGAGCCGCCCGACAGCCGAGCCGCCCAGCACCGTGCAGCCGAGCCGCCCAGCAGCCGAGCCGCCCAGCAGCCGAGCCGCCCGACAGCCGAGCCGCCCCGCACCAGCAGCCGAGCCGCCCGGCAGCCGAGCCGCCCTGCAGCCGAGTCGCCCGACAGCCGAGCCGCCGAGCAGCCCGATCGCTCCACCTACCTGGTAAGAGCACAGTCTCTGCCACTGCACTGCCCTGCCTCCTGCTGTTATGGCTTCCCCTAGCGTTCTCACCTTTGACGCTGAGGGTCGGGCAGTGGACTTTGAGGTCTGGGTAGATAATCTGCAACTTTTCCTGCAGTGCGATAGGGCAGACGGCCTTTCCTTGTTTGACCTCACTTCTGGTGCCTCCCCTGCCCCTGCTGCTGATGCTGACGCCACTGTTCGCTCACAGTGGGCCACACGTGACGATGCTGCTCGCCTTGCTGTGCGCCGCCACTTACCGACCACTGAGCGTGCACACTTTAGCCAGTACAAGAGTGCTCAGACCTTGTACGACGCTGTAGTTGCACGCTACTCTTCCCCTGCCACTGCTGCACTCAGCCGCCTCATGCTACCGTACCTCTTCCCTGACCTTGCTGCCTTTCCCACTGTTGCTGACCTCATTACGCACCTCCGCACTAGTGACACTCGCTACCGCGCTGCGCTTCCTGCTGAGTTCTGCGCCAAGAACCCCCCCCCCATGTACATCACCCTCTACTACATAGTCACCCGTCTCTCTGACTCTCTCCGTGTAGTCAGGGACCACTTCTTTTCTGTTTGCCCCACCACTCTCACCATTGACCTCCTCGAGAAGGCCCTCCTAGCGATAGAGAAGAGCATAGTCGCTGTAGGAGCCTCTCGTGGTGACCCTCGCACCCCCGTCTTTGAGGGGTGTTCTCCCTCCCCCCTCTTGCCCTCTGTTGCCTCTACTGCTGCGGCCGACCTCGTTGGTTTCGAGTCGGTCGGCGCTGCGTCTGCCCCGAGCGGGAGACGCCGCACCGGCAAGGGCAAGGGGGGCAAGGAAACTGGAGGAGGTGGAGGGGGCGGTGGAGGTGGTGGTGGAGGCGGTGGAGGGAGTGGGGGTGGTGGTGGGAGTGGTGCTGGGGGTGGCGGCGGCGGCGGCAGTAGTGGAGGCGGCGGAGGCGGTGGAGGTGGCGGAGGGAGCGGAGGCGGCGGAGGTAGTGGAGGAGGCGGAGGTGGAGGAGGTGGCGGAGGCGGCGGAGGCGGCGGCGGCGGCGGAGGCGGCGGTGGTGGAGCGAGTCGCGACTCTGCGTCGAGGAGTGGCGCCGGTGGTGGCCAGCGCCAGCAGCAGCAGCGGAGTGGTGTGACCCTGTCCCCTCAGCAGCTTCGTGAGTGGTACACTACACGCCAGCGCGGTGGGGGTTTTCGTCCCTGCTCTTACGATCTCCGTACCGGCGACCGCACTGGTGAGTAGTGCGGGGGTCCGCACTCCACCCAGCGCTGCTTTGGTCGCCTGACGGACGCGTGGCGTCGCCAGTTCCCTGAGGCGTCAGAGATCCCTCGCTGGGGAGATCTGGCTAAGGCCGAGGTTGCTATCTTTGATCTTGACTTTGATGCTATTCTTGCTGCCATGTATGCTGTTGCTGATAGTGTTGAGGGTGCCTGTTACCTGTGTGTACCGCCTGACCCGGGCATTGAGGCTGCTGCGCTAGGTGCTGGTGAGACTGCTGCTCTAGGTGCTAGTGCGTCTGCTGCCCCAGGTGCCAGTGCGTCTGCCGCCCCAGGTGCTGGTGAGTCTGCTCTCTCAGGTACTACGTCGGCTCAGGCCTTCCACACCTTCACCCTGGACTCGGGTGCGTCCCGCTCCTTCTTTCGAGACCGCACCACTCTTACGCCGCTTAGTCGGCCGGTTGCAGTCTCCCTAGCAGACCCCTCTGGGGGTCCTGTCCTTGCTAGCTTCTCCACTGTCCTTCCGTGCTCTGCAGCCCCCTCTGGCACCCTGTCTGGTCTCTACCTCCCCTCGTTCTCTACGAACTTGGTGAGTGGAGAGGACCTACAGGATCGAGGGGTTGACCAGTTCACTCCTGCAAGTCAGCGAGTGACCCACTGCAGGTGTGCTCGGACAGGCCGACACTTGGCCACGTTCACCCGTCAGCCAGGGTCGAGCCTGTACACCCTTACTGCTGAGTCTCCTACTGGTGAGTCTGCCCAGGTAGCTGCGTTGAGTCAGGTGTTTGCTCCAGCGTCCAGGTCTGGTCCTGAGTCTGCCCCCTGCTCGTGTCGTCTGCTGTCCCACCAGACTCTCCTTTGGCACCACCGCCTTGGTCTCCCCACCTTGCCTCGTCTCCGAGGCATGGCCTACCGTGTCCTTGTCTCTGGTCTTCCTCGGTCTCTCCCTCCTCTTCCTCCGGGGCCTGGCCCTACCTGCGTCCCCTGCGTCGAGGGGCGACAGCGCGCCGCCCCTCACTCCTCCGAGTTTCCTCCGACAGAGGCTCCGCTGTAGACTCTACACATGGACGTGTGGGGCCCAGCCCGCGTCAGTGGGCAGGGGAGAGAGCGGTACTTTCTGCTGGTCGTTGACGACTACTCGCGTGACACCATAGTCTTCCCCTTGCGCAGCAAGGGTGACGTCACTGAGGTGTTGATCGACTGGATCCGCGCAGCTCGTCTCCAGCTCAGAGAGAGTTTCGGCTCGGACTTTCCTGTTTTGCGTCTGCACTCGGACAAAGGAGGGGAGTTTTCCTCTGCCCGTCTGGGAGCCTTCTGTCGGGCACAAGGCATCCGCCAGACCTTCACGCTTCCGGCCTCTCCACAGCAAAATGGGATTGCTGAGCGCCGCATTGGCATGGTCATGGACGTCGCGCGTACGTTCATGATGCATGCGGCTGCCCCCCATTTTCTGTGGCCGTTTGCGGTTCAGTACGCCGCGCATCAGCTCAACCTTCAGCCCCGGGTCTCCTTGCCAGAGACCTCCCCCGCCTTGCGGTGGACAGGGAAGGTTGGCGATGCGTCTTCGTTTCGGGTCTGGGGATCTCGGGCGTTTGTCCGCGACTTGTCTGCGGACAAGCTGTCCCCCCGTGCTGTTTCTTGCGTCTTCCTTGGCTTCCCCCCTGACGCGCCTGGCTGGCAGTTTTACCACCCCACCACGCGCCGTGTTCTATCCTCCTAGGACGTCACCTTTGACGAGTCGGTGCCTTACTACCGTCTCTTCCCCTACCGCACTGCACCCCTCCTCCCGCCGCTGCTCTTCCTTGCGCCAGGTGCTACTCAGGTAGACCCCCTCCCTCCTCAGGGTCCTGCCCCTTCAGGTGTGTCTCAGGTAGACGCAGTCGAGCCTGTCGAGGTAGCTGTAGACTCTGGTGCTGCTAGAGGTGCTGAGCCTGCGGGTGACGGGTCTGCAGGTGCCGGGTCTGGGGGTGCTGAGTCTGGGGGTGCTGAGACTGGAGGTGCTGA